TATTTGGAAGACAGAAGTGAGGGGAGACATATCAAGAACCGCGGATGGTCCGAGGTTTTGGTCCCCATGCAAGCTAACGAGTTAGTCTGTCACCGTATCATAGGTGCTCGTAGCAGACGTGAGACTCTGAGCTCAGAGACAAAGGACTTGATTACTCACAATGATAGCAGTAGCCAGAATATCCACATTTTCTTGCGCTGGTTTCTCAAGCTCCAAGTTCCCACAGGGCAACACGAAGAGGGCCAGGTGGCCCCTGCACACACAGTGGGTTACATTAAAGGAGAGAAACCCTGAGTTTGGAGAACCCACATCTTTTATAATGGATAGTAGGCATGCCCGCCCTTGCCTCTGGAGAGAGTTCTCATCTCAACTGCCAAGGCTACTCGCTGTGCGAGCATCCTGGAAAAGGTATTCTAGAACAAAGCAGTCAGTGCCTCTGCAAGTTGTGCAGACACAAGAGACTCATGGAAAATCGTCTCCCAAGAAGGCCATGTTCTTGTTTCCAGCTATGGCTTCTGGCAAGGATGGTCGTGCAGATGTGGGGTTTTCGAGAGCAGCTTTCCAGTGTCCAGCCACTAACTTCATAGTGTCAAAAGGAAATTATAAAAACAGCAAATCCCTAAACCCAGATCGCTGCTCTGACTGTGAGTTTTTGAGGTCAGCTGTGCCTATGGCAGCCTCTCGATTCTCCTCTTTCTTGATTGTGGCAGGCTACTTAGGCGTTATTGAACTTCTTGAAGCCCCAGCCGAGACTCTGCTTCTCCATCCCTTCCAAGACTTCCGTAAACTTCAGATTTCCTGTATGAAATCCTTCCTTTACTGCTGAAAATAGCCAGAGTGGGTTCTATTTCCTGCAGTGACCAATATAAGTACAGACTAAGCTTCGTTGTCCTCCAAAGCTCGAGTGCTTTTCACTAGAAGGTTCTGATGATGGTAAAGATGGTGACGATGATGATGATGATGATTAGACAGCAAGAGACAAAGGAATAGAGTGAAGACAGGAAGAATAAAGCAAAAAAGAAATAGGAAAAGGGAAAAAATCATTATTTTTCTCCTTCTTTCCCCAATAAAATGTCACATATTCACCAAAGAGAAAGGTTTTTTGAATCTCTAGCTACTGCGATTATTGAAAGACACACATACTTGTGAGAACCCCGACATCACCAATTAGAGCTCTTTCTTTCATTCTGTTTACATTTTTCTCTACTTTCTCTGTGACACGAGAAAGGGTCTCAGCTGTTCACACGTGGGCTGGTCACACCCTCGGCTGGATCAGGGAGAAACTTGGTCTCAGGAGAATGTTCTCACTCCAGCCACAGTGTCTCGTGGGGAAGGGGAAAGAAAGGAAGGTGGTCTCGAGGTCCTTCTTGGAAAGGGGGTTCTGGCTGACCGCATCACTCCCAATGAGCTTTTTGGTTCAGTGTCTTGGACCCTCCACCCTGTCCTGCCCCCAAATGGTGAGCAGCATGTCCTGAGAATAACGTCTGGAGGTGCTTCCCCCAGAGCCACCTCTGACTTGTCCCCTGCCGGCCCCCTGTGCAGTTCTGCAGTTCTCCCGAGGGTCTGGCATGGGAATTTGCCCTTCCTGTGCAATGCAGGTGGCTGAGCTCTGGGAATTGCAAGAAATTGCCCATTTAAATGATAGCCTACGTTTATTAAGTACTTACTGTGTGACAGACACAGTCCTAAATGCTCTAGAAGTCATTTAATTCATTTCCATTGTCCGAAGCAGGCATTATCATGCTCCATATTTTACAGATGTGGCAACTGAGGCTTAGAGAATTAAGCCACCTGCCCAAGGTCACAGTCAGGGTGTCTTTAGACACCCCTCTCTTAACTACTATGTTCTCCTGCTCAAAGCAGAAACTCAATGAATATTCGTTCAATGGATTAGAACGAGAGTGGCAGAAATTGCTGATTCCTCCCAATACTCAGACTTACTACGGTCAGCCACCACTGTCAGCCAAGATTTTAGCTGAGCGTATGCCTACTTGGCCAGTAACTTCTCTATGCCTCTGACTCGACATCTGTAAAATAGAAATAATAATAGTACCTACCTCATATGTTTCTCAAGTATATGGACTTCCAGCCAAGTACATTACTAACCCAAACCAGTCCCAAACTATAATATCTGGCCAATAAAATATACATTTTTAATTCCTAACTTGCAGTTCATTTTATTGAGGATTAAATAAGTCAGTACGTGTGCCTGGCACATCATAAGCACTAGATTCAGGCCAATTGATTTAATTAAACCAAATGCTATAAGCCTGTAAGTCTCTCTCAGCAAAGAACTGAGAAATTTCAGAGACATGTCCACCCTTCAGACGGTCTGTTGTAAAGCATCATTACAACATGTTTCAACAATAAAAGGAACTACTGGTTAAGAATATAAAATCTGTATTTTATTAGTCAGATAGTGCAGTGTGAGAGACTTTTTGGTTAGCAATCCACTTGATTTTTAAATATTTTAGAAATCATCCTCTCGTAAACCAACGGCCACCTCAAGAAATATTCACAGGGGCGTCTGTTTCCACACGCATCTTCCAGAAGCTCTTGTGTAAGTCAAATCAACAGGCCAGCTCCTCCCTGCAAGGGAGACCAGCCGAACGAAGCCACTTCCCACAGAACTCAGCCCTGCTGGCACTAAGTGTGACACAGATTTTTGCACCCATTACAGAATTAAGAAAGAGACACGGGAAAGTCGAAGTGAACGATCTTAGCGCCTGTCCCATGAATGACGTCTGAGGCTGGGGTGGGGCCGGGCAAGGCGGTGTCTGCACCCTACACAGGGGTCACCTGCATTATGAATTGGCGTCACTGCCAGGGTGCCAATCACAGCAGTGAGGTTCCTGCAGGGTCGGGATACTTGTCAGAGGTCCTATGACAAGACAGGAAGGTGGAGAGACCTCCCAGGTCGTTCTCAAGTTGTGCTTTGACCTTCGAGGAGTAATGAAAGCTTGGGGAAGTGTTTGCGTCTGCTGTACTAGCTAGGCAAGGTAGGAGTGATAGGTCTGGGATAGAGCCAGCTAGCTTAGTCCGCAGGCTTTAGCAGATGTGAAGGGCTCCGTGCCGTTAGGCTTCACGTCGCAGCTGGAGAAGTAAAAGATAGTGACTCTTCTTAGGGATCCGGTTTATTCTCTCACGCCGCACTGTCAGCCACAAACAGGGCCTCTCTTTGAGTGGTCCTATTTAGAGTAGATCCACTAATAAACCCTTCTCTGTGGATTCCAACCATTCCTTTTTCTTTCCTTGTTACAGGGTCTGATGTCCTGGAGACATTAGCCTGGTATGCCGAAAGGACACAGAGATCTGTGCAGCGACAATCGCTCAGGTAATGATGACAGGTGAACGTTCTTTGTGAGAATTAAGAAGTAGGGTTTATGAGGAGGAGGAGGCTAGCCAAAGGGTGGGAACATCTCATGACTGCAAGACAACATGGCCACAGAAACTGCTAATGCTTCATCGGTTTCTTTCTGCCTCCTAAGGTAGAAATACTCAGCTCCCCGCCAGGGTTAAGGAAAATTCCAGAGCCGTCCCTGCAAAAATCGAGGTCTCTTGGCGGGAGCTGTGTCCAAGAACCCCTCCCTTCCTCTCCCCCGACATGTAATGAGGACCCAGGCATCATCAATCTCCTGCTCACTGTGCTCCGAGAAATTGCTCGCCCAGGTTCTTTGAGGAATAAAACTGGAGCTCGGCTGTGTGAGTTGGGGGTCAAGGTCGGGGCGATGGTCGTAGACGCCCCAGGACTTTTGAAACCAATCTGGTCTGCTCTGTATGACGTGCCATAGAATTCCAACCTTAAATAAGTCCTCTGCTCTCTCTTGCAGTGGCCTACTTCTGTTTGTGAGCCAAAGGCTTTCAGAACATGGGAGGCTGGTGGAGGGGACGTGTCCTGGGTGTGCTCTGGTCAAAATGGGGAATGAGGAGTGCATGTGGGGAGGACGGAACAGCCAAAGAGGTCTCACCATCCGCGGGTTTATTGCTTTATGCTGCCACCTGGCTGATCCTCGAGCTGCAGGCTCCTGCTGTCAGACAGAAAGACAGATGAGACGGGGAACCTTTACACTGGAAGGAAGGTCTCAAAACGAAGGTTCCTGATAGAAATCTCAGCTTAGGCCACAGGCAATGACGTTCAGCCTCTGACTCAAGAGCCACTGTCACCGATAAGGGAGAAGCGGACTAGTTCTAAAGGCCAGGCTTAAAGGTCAGGTGTTCACTCGCCGACGGAAAGCTCCTTGAGCTGGGACTGGTTCTGTCTGCCTCAAAGCTCCATGTTTTCTTCTTCTTTAAATCTATACGCACTTCCTACTGAAATCCTTGGTAAACGTCCACACTCATCTTCAAGGGCTCTGAGTGGGAGGATGCCAGTGTCCCTACAGATGTCACCTTCGCTTCTGGTGACGTCGAGGAGCAAGACAAAAGGAAAAGGTTCGGGTGAATTGCTCGGGCTGGACAATCCACGCCAAGAAGGGGCCTCGCCAACATCCCTGCGTCCTGTCACCCGGGAAGGAAAATACTGCCCACCGTTACTGGGACACACTCTGCCTCGGATCGGATCGTGTCTTAGGGCTTCACAGATACAAAAGGGGTAAACAGTGATCCTGGAGTGACATGTAGAAGGAGACAGGAGATCTACCCCAAGCTGAGCACATGGATAAGGAGAAAAGTCCTTGGAGAGGCATGGTGAGTGTCACGGTGGGTGACAGCTAACAGAACGGCCTGTGGCACTTGTATGGCAGCCCATGAAGAACTTCTGGGAAACTAGATGGAAAGGGGCGGCCAGAGGTCCTGTCAAGTTCCAGTCGAGGCTCCAGGTTGTTGATGTTGATTACCTTCACCTGTTGATGTTGATTGCCTTCACCTGCACGCACTGGCCAGAAAACCTGGTGACCTTCGGGGTATGTGTACATTATCTTTCATCCTTACCAGGGAAGCGAGGTGTGATTCCAATTTGACTATAAGGAAGCCGGTGCGCTGAGAGCTTGTGAAATCTCGCGATGCTTTTCGAGAAGCGGCTGCGATGCGTTTCGCAGGTGCAAAGAAAGGACAGTTTCTTTGCCGCCATCAGCACGGATGCTAAACACACAACGTGCCGAGCGCTGTGACGAAGGTTGGTGACACCGGTACGAACGAGTTTTTAGCCCTGTCCTTAAGGGCTTGTAACCTAATCGGGAAAGAATAAGACATTATTCCAGTAATGATGACATGATCACCACTGAATCCTTCATTGGGCATGACTCTTATTATCTGGAAGGATCAGGATTTGGGGACCATATTGGTCACGATTTGACACAGTGCATGCCAAAGGAAATCCAAATAATAATCAAAAAGATCAATATGTACGTTCCTCTCACATAAATAGGCAGGCAGCTCTTTGATCTCAAGGGCCTTGGTTCCTTCCATCTTTCTGCTTCATTTTGATCATGGAGCTTGTCTCTGAAAGATTATCTAATGGTCCAAGATGGAGGCTGAAAAAGCTTCTCTGAATTGCCAGGAGCCTTCCCTCCACTCATGCCTTTTAATCTAGGTGTTCCCAGGGATACAGCTATAATCTTGTTGTTTTTTTTTTTTCTCCCATGTCCAGACACCTCTCCCCGACCCCCACCGCAGGCACCTTCCACTCCACGTCTTGGAGGGAGGTCTTGACAGCAGAGAAGCACACACAAACGGGATGCCGTCACACTTTGGGGGCAAAATCCGTGGGCATTTTCTAAGTCCCTTCGCTACGACTGAATAATGTAATAGGAAAAAAACTTTCCTTTCGGTTTAGAGCCATTGGAGAAAAACTTCAAAGCAAATAACACTTTTTAATGTGCGGCTTTTAAGGAGCCCCGTTTTAGGGAGCGGCTCCCAGATGCAGCCCTCATTTGTGACAGACCGGGCGCTCGCCTGCCTGTCTGCTCTGTTGGCCAGACTCTCTCCTGGGGGCCCTGTCCGAGTCACCATCGGCCTGGTGAGGGTCGCAGTCCCGTTCTCTACAATGACCCAATGGCCATGGATAATTCCAGGACACACGCCTCATCTTCTCTTTTCCTAACCGACCTTCTCTTGTACACCATGAAAAGACCCAGGTGACAACCCCGAGCCTGAGCTACCAACAGGTTCATCTGACTCCAGTAGAGTAAGATGCTGAGGCTGCCTCGAATGGGACCATCTGGCCTCTAAGGAAGAACTCGAGAAAGTCCCATGGGGAGCTGGGGACCTGCAGATATACCACTCGCGCGACACTACACATGCAGTTCCTGTCATGATTCAGGCCCTGGCCAGGGTCTGGTGGACTGGGGGAGACTCCGACAGTCCCCACGCGTCACTTAGCTCATGCCACGCTCCCGAGTGTCTCCGAATATTAAGCAGGAAAAGCAGGAAGTCCTCTCATCCATGCCACCTCCTGTGTCAGGTCTCAATCATTCATTCATGTGTCCAGCACACACACACACTGAGCACTGCTTATGTGCCAGGAACTTTTCTGAGTTGGCAGACAGCAATGCACAAGATAGACAAACCCGCTAGTCCTCAATGGAGCATATATTTGCGTGTGTGTTGGGAGGTGTGGGGGCGGGGAATAGGAAAATAAACGAGTAAAAGACACAGACAGTTCCAAGATGTTTCTAAAGCAGGGAACCAGACTGGGAAGTGTGAGGAAGAAGAGTGGTACTTTTAAATAAGGTCGTTGGCCTCCCTGGGAAGGAGAGTGACATTTGAAGAAATCGGTGCAGGAGATAAGAGAGGGAGCACCCCACTGACTCCCCCGCCCCCAACCGTTTGTGCGGTTTTTGCTGCAAATATGTCAGAGCCACAGGAGAAAAAATGGCGCGTTCTCTCTCCCGACAGGAAAGGGGGGCGGTTTGAAAAGGGAAGCAAACACCGGGACGAGAGAAGTTGTTCCGTGCTGAACCCTCCCTGATGGACACTTGCAAACCCGCTCCGGAGGCAGAGCGGGGCGCCCCAGGCGCCCGGGGGGCCCCCCTC